TCATTGATGGAAGATGGAAATGGGATATTTTGCAATAAATTGGTTCATGTATGGAGAGGACAGAACTCTTGAATAACATTCAAATGATGACTTATTTAAGACTTAAAATCCCTCAGTTCACGAGTTGTGTAATTACAATAAATTATATTTCTTTATAAATGTTTGGAAGTTATTATGATTAATTAATTCAATCCTCATTCTTTCTTGGTTAGGTCTAAATTCTTTCAAACATACCCCAAATTAAATTTCAAAGGCCATTTGTTTTGGTTGCCGCAGGCAGTCAATCATCACTTGTTATCAGTTATTTTTATGACAAGATTGATATAAAATTGAGGTATTTTACTCATTTCTTTTTCCGAGATAAGTTTTTCTTAAAATCTACTCAAAATCGATCAAAATTCATTTAAAAGTTTGACATATCAATACTTTGATATCTTTTAGTAATTATTCGACGAGACCAATTTCGAGGTATGTTGTTTGTCTTCTCGAAATAATGTTCCTCATTATTCGAATTTTCGAACAAAAATTCAAAATTCCTCAAACATAAGAAAGTCTCCAAAATCACTCTATTTTTTAATTTCGTTGATTTTGAGTTTGTTTTGTGGAAAATCAATTCTATGATAAGAAAGAGGAGTGAAATGTAAATATTATGATATTGATATTATCACGAAAGACGACCAGTAACAGAAGATAATATGATGTCGAGGACATCAGAAAAGGTGCAGTGCCAAAAAACGTTCTACTTAAAGGTTTAGTAACAAAACCGATACATCTATAATATTTAATGGTTAAAAAATGCCATTTTAAGAATTAAGTCACACAAAAACGATGCTATTTTGTCTATGTCATCACACTGTTTGGATTTTAAAGGTCCATTAGTATAATTGAAGTTAAAATCAAAGTTTAGTGTTATAATTGAAAAAATTAAAATTTTAGTAGTATAAACAATATTCGATCTAAAGTTCAGTGGTATCTTGTGTAGTTTATTCCCTTAGATTTCGTACAAATTGCAATGACCGTGCGTCTGTTTTCGTTCTTCCTATCCTCGAAGTCGAACGGCTTCCACCATAAGTAAGTAGGCCTGTAAACGAACCGAACGCACATGAACGGAAGTATGTTCATGTTCGTTTATTTAATAAATAAACGAACACGAACATAAACGAACAAATTTTTTTTTGTTCATGTTCGTTTATTAAGGAATATAACTTATTCATGTTCGTTCATTTAATAAATAAACGAACATAAACGAACACGAACATAAACGAACATGAACATAAATGAACACGAACATAAACGAACATAAACATTAGAGACCCTAACTAGGGGTGTAAACGAGCCAAGTCGAGCTCGAGTATTACTGAGCTCGACTCGAACTCGAAAACTTTCAAAGTTAGCCCAACTCAACTCGAAAACACGAACATAAGTATTGTTGGTGGCGCAGTCACATAGGGTTCCGACGCAGTAGATGTGACGGTGCTAGGTATGTAGCTTATGGATCGTTCAAAAAGAACTAAACTATGTTAATATTGTTGGGTTTTCCAAAAAAAATTGGATTAATTATGGAGTTGGTCATCAGAATATCAGATTAATTAATATTTTTAAGATACATACAAATTGGTCATCAAAATTGATTTAAGAAGATTGAGTTAAACATAAATAAACGAACATAACCGAACGAACATAAACAAACATAACCGAACGAACATAACCGAACGTTCACGAACGTAAATGAACGAACGATACCTATGTTCATGTTCGTTTAAACGAACACAAAATCTTGTTCATGTTCGTTCATTTAATAAATAAACGCATATAAACAAACTTTCCACAACACGATTCATGAACGTTTCGCTGAACGTTCAATTCATTTACAGACCTATAAGTAAGACATGAGACGAAAAGTCTCGCTCTCCTACTTCTTGTTTTTATCGTTAAAAGATTGAAGGTTTTAGGCTTCGACATAAGGTTTCTGTTCGTATATTTAATCATCACATACTCACACCAAAAAGGTACGGATTTTATCCCAAATTCTATTTTTTATTTTCCGCATTCAAATAGTAAATTACGATTAAAATTTGCACCGTGAAACCCTGGTTCGAAGAACTTTTGTTTTATTTTGATTTTGTGCAAAATCTCCGTTTGAATCATGTATAGGAAAAGGGGAAAAAAGGTATTTCTTGTTTATGTGATATATTTGTTTCGTACTTAATTTGCCAAATTTGTAATTATTTGTTGCTTAGGGTCTTTATGGGCGGCTAAATCGGGTATCAATTTCTGAATTTCCGTGATTGTTGAACTTCGTAGCCTGCTTCCTGCTGATTCGTTTGCATGGCAAGCTTTGAGGGTAGGGCGTCATATTCTTCGCTTCCGAAGCTAGAAAAGGGAAATAATAATGTGTATCGATTCGATGATGATTATAGCGGCTCTGTTTGGACTGAGCCCCAAGACAAGAGTATTGTCACATTTGGCTCAAAGTTGATGAAGAATGACTATTTTAATCGGTTTCCGAGTGATTCCGATGATTTTATTGATGGAGGATATGATTCTGGTGATGATGTCCGTAGTTCAATGCAAAATGGCTTGTATCCAGAGGTGAACTTGAAGAATGTGTTGAGTGGGTTTGTTGCAATTGTAACTGGGCGTAACAAAGGCTCCTCGAGCGTTTCTGTGAATCAGCAATACCAAAGTTTTAATGTTTGTTTATATACCAAGTGCCCCTCCGCTTCTGGAGCCGAGTGGGGTAGATTATAGTGCATATAAAGAGGTTTTGGAAGCTGAGCCTTCGGAGTGGATTCCCGATAGTTTTACCACAGTTTGCATGCAGTGCAGTGCTCCATTTACTGCACTTACACGTGGAAGACATCATTGCCGGTTTTGTGGAGGGATTTTCTGCAGAGCGTGTTCTAAGGGAAGATGCTTACTACCTGTTAAATTTAGGGAAAGAAACCCCCAGAGGGTGTGTGATTATTGCTATGATAGGCTTGATCCATTGCAGGGTGTTCTTATCAATACCATTAGCAATGCTGCGCAAGTAGCTAAACATGATGTCATGGACTGGGCCTGTACTCGTTTTTGGTTGAACTTGCCAGTTGGTTTGTCCATGGAACATGAGATCTACAAAGCATCCAATATCTTGAAAAGCTATTGCCAGGTAAGATCCTCATTGTCATTATTCATGCAAGAAAATAGTTTTGTTTGTCTAAAACTTACATTGACCTTGTGATTTCCTTCCCTATTGTTATCCAACTTGATTAAGCTTTTCCGGGTATGGTTTTGCATCTTGAAATCACCAACTAGAAGACACCATTTCTTTACCTGGTTGCTTCAGCTTAAAAAATAACTTTTTTTTGTATATTGGAGTTGCATAGAGATTAAAGACTATGCTTTGACACTGTCAGAAGCTTCTAGTAACAGTTGTTGAGTTGGACAGGTTGCTAGGTGGAATACAGAGAGATCTATACCATTGGCAGTTCTGAAAGGAGCCAAAAGCTTAGCTATTCTAACTGTTGTTAAAGCTGGAGTTCTGGTTGCATACAAAGTTGGGACTGGTCTTGTTATTGCCCGAAGGTCAGACGGAACATGGTCTGCCCCATCAGCTTTGTTGTCAGTTGGTTTAGGATGGGGTGCTCAGGTATACTTTTAATCGACTGAAATATACCTGTTTTAGCATCTGAATATACATGTCTGGACAGCTAAAAAGGTCGTTTGCCTTTCAAGTTCCTAAGCATTTAGGTGTGTTAGCTAAATGTTGTTTATATTTGTTCCATAGATTGGGGGTGAGCTCATGGATTTTATAATTGTGCTTCATGATTCAAAAGCCGTGAAGACATTCTGTAGTCGAATGCATTTTTCTCTTGGTGCTGGCTGCAGTGCCGCTGCAGGACCAGTGGGGAGAGCGGTGGAAGCAGATCTTCGGGCAGGGGATAGTGGCTCTGGCATGTGCTATACCTACAGTTGTAGCAAAGGTATTTCATCCTGCAATGCATTTATACTCTTCTTTTGCCTAGTTGGTGGATTTGACAATCCATTTTGTTGCAAATTTTGCAGGGGCGTTTGTTGGTGTGTCGTTAGAAGGAAACATCGTTGCAACAAGAATGGATACCAACCTACGGTTCTACGGCGACCCATATCTCACCACTGCCGACATAGGGACCGTGGACGGACCAAAAGCTGCTGAGCCCTTGTATGCTGCTCTGGGTAATCTTCACTCCAGCCTACGTTGTTAGTTCCAACACCATCTGTGACTGTACAGTTTGTTGTTTACGTCCATTATACAAATCAAATTTCGCAGTGGGTCAAATGTCTCTACAGTGTCAAACAGACCATTCAATTACCTTAATCATAATCTTGATTGAAACATAACGTCGCAAGATAAAATTCAAAGATCACGAAGTCATGACGTCCTACAAAATAATTTAAAAATCATTAATCTTCGTAACAAATGAATTCAGTCTCAATGTTTCGTTCAGTTGAAGTGGGTTAATGTTCCTTAAATAACCGAAATTACGCTTTTGATAACTCAATTTATTGAAATTGCTAATTTTAATGATTTAATATTCTAAATTGTTTAGCAAACAATTCAAATTATTAGTTAAGTTTTTAACAAATAAATATAAAATATGCTAAATAGGTAAGGATCTATTTATTATTTAATAAATGGTATATATAATATTTTTACTTTGTTTTTTTTAATTATGTCATTCTTTAGATTTAGATTTATCAAATAATTTAATTATATTTAACATTTAATTTGAAATAAAATATCAAAAAGATTTATAATTTAAATTCAAAACATAGTTTTTTCAATTTATCAAATTATACTTGAACAATAATGATTAATAATACGGTAGAACTGTCATACAATATTATTCAAAATATTTACTATTATTGTATTTCTATCGGGATTATCGAGGTAATTAAATACGGTCATCTTGAAGTCGAAAATATCGAATCAACCCTAGAAGAACAGAAAAAGCCCCTACAGCAAAAAGAGGGTACAAATTTCAAATTCTAGAAAAGCTGCTATTTTCTTCATCATGATGGCAACCATTGATAAAGAAATATCAATAAAGAAGCGAAGCAGATCAGGATTTCAAAAGGAAACTGAGATCATTGACCTCGAAAGCGATTCCTTTTGTTTTACACCCATTAAAGACAAAGGCAACTCCAAAACCGACCCAATCTACGTCGAACAGTACAGTGAAGAAATCGACCTCCGATTTTCCATCAAGATTTGCGCCAGATCCCCGGTTAGTAACTTCATAGACCTCGCCAACTACGATGATGATTTGTTCGTACTTGATTCCGATGCCCCAAACACCCCTTTCTGTAAAAAAGAAAAGAAACCCTTCACCGATCGCTCCATTACTGAACCGGGAGAGTCATCAAACTCCAAAGCCAACCAAGACCCATCTTTTGTCTGCGAAATCTGCGTCGAACCCAAGCAACCAAACGAGTTGTTTAACATCAAAGGTTGCTCTCACGCTTACTGTATCGATTGCGTGATCAAATACGTAGCTTCCAAATTACAAGCCCAGATTACGGCTATAAATTGTCCCGTTGAGAACTGTGAGGGTTCATTAGAACCTGAGTACTGTCGCAATATACTTCCCAAAGAAGTTTTCGATAGTTGGGGGGATGCTTTATGCGAGGCCATGGTTTTAGGGTCTCAACCTTTTTATTGTCCCTTTAAAGACTGTTCCACGCTTTTGATTGATGATGGAGGAGAGGCCGTGAAGGAATCAGAATGCCCTAATTGTAGGAGGCTGTTTTGTGCGCAGTGTAAAGTTCCTTGGCATGCTGAGATTGAATGTGGGGAATTTCAAAGGTTGCATAAAGATGAACGAGAGAAGGAAGATATCATGTTGATGAAGCTTGCCAAGGAAAAGAAGTGGGGTAGGTGCCCTACATGTAGATTCGTTGTTGAGAGAACCCAAGGCTGTAGGTTTATGCGCTGCAGGTTAGCTACATAGCTTTGTTTCTCTGGGTTTTTTCTTGCACTTTCTTTTTCGTTTTCACAATGGTTAATCTATCAGTTTTGTGCCTTATCTTTGGTTTACTTTGCTATATGCATATGTCCTATGGTTCTGGATTTGAATGAGGAAATCTTGATGGCAATGTCTGTTTAACATACATACATACATACATGCAGCATGTTTTCCATTAGGTTTTAACAAGCATTACTCATTTTTTTTAAAAAATTGCTGATATCTAATCCAAAGCTATCTTTATAAATGACAAAAGTCTGCTAGTTTGGTATAGTAGCCACTAAGGATTTAAATAGATGTATGTTATCGGATTACGATCGTTTTATAGCAATAATGCTATGTTCGTAATCACAATAAATACAACACAACTGAAAATGTGATTATAATCGTAATTTAAATCCCTGGTCGTAGTTATAATATGTTATTTATTAGGAAATTGTCGGCCCAACACCAAAATTTACTTAGAGAGCTTTAGTACCCGTATACTGTTTTGGTATCATATGTATTGCAAGCTTGTAATGAAATTTGGATTCTGTTTTAAACCTCTCCTACAAATTCATCAAATGATGTTTTGTTCTTTCTGGATTTTTTTATTTTCACGATTTTCCTTTTTTTTTAAAATATTTTTATGATCTATATTTAAGATTCTTGATATCAGATTATGTGTAAAACAGATGTGGAGCTGCTTTTTGCTACGATTGTGGATCAACCCGAGTGGATCATCAATATCATTATTGCTTTGTATGCAAACGTTAATATAGAAAGATTTTTTTGGCCCTCAATTTTATTAATTTAATTTTTCTTAATTTAGGATGATTATAAATGATAATATTTGTTTTAGAAATTCTCAACCATTTGATACAATGTTGAAATTGTTTCATATATTTGGTACTTGTATTAGGTATTCTTTTTCAAGTTAGTGCTTACATTTTTTAAAAAAATTAAGTCGGTATCTAAGTTAGACACATTTTTCACATTAGTGTTTAAATAATTTTTTTCTCAAATGAATATAATTATTTTTTTAATACAATTTTTACTGTAATGGGAATATTTTGCTAAATGCTATCAACCATGTACATGGACAAAATTTTAAGCGGAGAACAAGGGTGGGGAGGATTTAAAAAAATTGATCCGATTCACAAAATTGATTGAAATCGACTTGAATTAGAATTATTTGTGGTTTTAGGCGGTGGTATTCGGAATTGGTGTGATTTTGTATTAGTGTTAATATGAATCCAAGTTGGATTTGGAAAATTTAGATTTGAACTCGACCTATACTCGAGTTGAAAACGATCTGAATCTGAATTGAATCAATAATATGATAATTGAACTTAACTTGCGTTTGACCTGATCTAAACTCGAACATGAGATTCATCTGGTAAATAAATAACTGATATTACCTGATATGTTATTAATCTGACATATTATGAACGTTGTATGTAATTGACAACCTATAAATGATCCTATTAGTATTGAATTGATCTAATATTTAACTAACTTGAAAGTTATAATTAATGAAATAGTGAGATTATAAATTTATAATATTATAGTACGATAAAATGCATCTTCATAGTTTAATGTACATTGTAAACTATGATCATTACCTTTTATAAGTTGTAGTTTATAAAATATATTAAAAAGTTTTATAAATATAATAATTTGAAATTGATAAAGTTAATAAGAGAGAATTTTTTAAAATTTAAAATAAATTGTTCATCATAATAATTAAATTAAATTTTTTATATTAATTATAATTATTATATTGAAATTTTTTTAATTAGAATTATTAAATAATTTATTTATTAATTATGATTTATTAGATTAGAAATTAGATTATATAAAATTACGTTAAATATAAATAAGTTTGTTTTTTAATGTAATAATTGATTAATAAGTTAGATTATAATTTATTTATTAATTTGTATGTAATAAAAATTAGATTAATAAAAATTAATAATTTTTACATATACTGAAACTAATAATTTTACATAAACATGATTGATAATTTATTAATTTGTATGAAATAATTTTTATTTATTAGATTATTGTTTATATATATATATATATATATATAAACATGATTTTACATTGATATTGAAAAATTTAATAACTTAACAAATACTAAAACTAATAATTTTTTAACAATGACAACTATATTTTATTAATAATGGAAAGAATCAAAATTATAATGCATTTGAATAAAATGATAAATTTGGAGACAATAGTAACTAAAATACTCGAATAAAAGTAGATAATAAACCTAAAAATACGAAGAAAATTAAAACATTCCATTGAGAATGACTACCAATATCAAAACTCAATAATCTTCATACAAACTCCTTCTCTCTGTCGAATGAGACGCTTGACGAAGTAATAAAGGAGTGGAGAGCGAACCAAATAATCTGGCAAACTGTTTCGCTACACAATTTTGATTACATTGGAAAACAACTTTTTACAAAAAGATGGGATTTGACTATACGTGACCACCGACTAATCAATTAGAAAATAAATGTTGTGATTGTTTTTATGGCGATAACTAAAACAACTGCAAAGGTATACGAAAAAACGTATCGAATAATATGAGAATCGTACCACGAGAGTAGAAAAAAATTATGCCACAAGGACATATATTCTTATTCAAAATTAAAAAGACGCAAGAAAAAAACATAAAGACATTATATAAAAAATAAGAGAACTAATATTCCCCAACAATCAACATTAAGATTGGTGTCGCCGCCAACTAAACAAAGATAAAAAAGAAATAAGAAGACAACACAAAAATATTGAAAGAAAACTAGGTCGAGAGAAAAGAGAGGTGACTATAGTTTTTTTGCTCCATCAAGATTTTAAATTAAATTGGCGCATGAAACTAATAATTTATAAATTGTTGGGATTGACGAAACTCAATTGAACAATCGAATAATTTACCAAGGAGAGGTGAATTGGCTTTTTGAATTTAGGGATTAAGGAGTATAAAGATGAAACAATTTACACAAAGATTTATAGTGATTCGACTTCTCAAACAATTCTATATTCACTACCTAAGCTTTTCACTTAGGATTTTTTAACAAATCCACTAATTTGTTCTTTCTTTTTCCAGGGAAAAGAGATAACATTTACAACTCCCTAGCTTTTCAAAAGTTAAGCTAGAACCAATCCCCTTTACAAAATGAATAAAAATGTAAAAAAGAAAACATCTTAAAGGAAGATGCTTACAAAAATTAAGCTCACTAAAATACTAATATTTACAAGAGAAAGGAAAATAAGAATGAAAAGTTATTCTCTTGTGTTTGATTGCTTGGATAGGTGTTGTCATACTTCTTCAAGTGTCATCAACTTGTTTTTATATGTTGAAATGAGTTTGTGATCGTTTCTAGCCGTTGGAGATTAATTTTGTACAAAATAAAACTGCCTAGAACATGGAGTATTGATACTCCTTTAATGAGTATCAATACTACCTTTGTAATATTTAAATAAATTAGCCGTTGAAGACCGTTGAGCTTGACCAGTATCGATACTATGCTTCATGGTATCGATATCTCTATGTAAAGTAGTATTGATACCCCTTGAGTATCGGTACCTATTTCGCATTCTGGAATTTGAGTAATTTGGAAAACAACTGGTACTATTGATACTTCTCTTACTTTTGTTATCAGTACCACATGAACAATATATGTATTGTTCATGTAGTACCGATTTGTAAGAACAGTATCAGTACTACGTACTCAGAAAACTGTTTTGTGTTCAAATTATAGTTTAATGGACTTTGAACTATTTTTGAAAACTTTGAACAAATTCAATCAAGTCAAAAAACACTTGTCTTAATTTGTTATATCAAAATATTATAAAACATAGTTCAACAATCTCCCATTTTTAATATAACAAAACATTTGATTTTTTTTTTGGCAAAACCCCTGAATAAAATATTTAATGAAAATGAGTAATATTTAAAAAATATTAAAGCTCTCATTTTTCATTATTGAAATTGAATTTTTCAAACATATATTTTTCCCCTTTTTGTTATATAAAAATAATTCAAATTTAATGGTTCAAAACAACAATAGAGAGTAAGATTTTTAGCATAAAATCATTTAAAAAATCAAAATACCGGGGACCATTATTTTTGCTTGATTTATGCTTCACTTCCTTAGAAGTCATAAATCTCTTGAATCTATTGAAGAGTTTGACCATCTCTTCATCATCATCATCATCCTTCTTCTTGTATCATGTATTTTTCAAGTAGAGTTGGATCGAGTATTTTTCATCTTAAACTCAAATTCGACCCTAATTAAAAAAAAAACTAACCCAATCGAATAAAATTAAGTTGAAATCCATCAGAATTGACTCTCATGCCCATCCCTACTTGAGATAAATAGACGTTTATATTTATCCATAGACGTTGATTTATACATGGACGTTGCCCAACCTATGCATGACTTATTGTTATTTTTATAATTTATATTTGGTAACCTACAAGATAGGCTTAATATTATATCTTAAATTACGATTTGATTTGTCAAAAAGAGTTAAATATTATTAATTGCTTAGGGAATTTTTCGTTAAAAAAAGAGTGACTAACATTTCCAACATTATATTTTTATGTGTTTGGACTATAACAATCGTTATCTAACACATGTCATGCATATAAAGTTTCAAAAATTATTTTATTTAAAAAAATCAATACTCCTAATAAATCCCCCCAAATTTTACATTTTCCCTCGTAGATCGGCCACCACCAGTCTATGACCATCACCGTTAACACCATTAGAATCATCTCGCCACCGTGACCAAAATCTAGTCCCCCACCCATCGTAAAACTGCATCTATTGTCGTAAAAAAACGCCACAAAGGGTGATTGGATTTTTAGATTTTTTGTTTATATTTTATGGCCATTTCAATAGTTACAGTTATCCGTAAGTTACAAGGTCGCCACCGCTGTGCTCCTCGTCATGCTTCAAACCAACCCAACCGATGGTGACCGTTTGTCATCGGAAGTGAGACGACGGGAAGGAGAGGGACGACGAGAGGAAGGTGGTTTGACTTTTTTGATATTTTTAAAATAATATTTGTATAATTAAAAAATTAAAATATAACAATAGACTCCTAAAAGTATAACCGAAAAAACGTTGAACACTTATTTTTAACGAGAATTTCTTTAAACACCAAATTATATTTGAATGTATAATTTATGCACTTATTTTTTGTATTAGGCGTGACAGATATGATAAATTAAGAATTATATCATAAATTAAAAAAAACAAATAATTATTTTAAGAAACCAATTAAACTCAGCTTAATTGAAAAATTACAAAACGAGAAGTTAGAATCTATTTTTTCAGAGAGGGATTGTAACTTCTCATTGATCGAAATGTCGAAAATGCACTTACTTTATCCACAACAACCAATGATTTGCTACATTTCAAGGCTAATTTCGTAACAGGAACAACTCGCCTACGTGGGCTATCGCGACGGCATGTTCAAAAAGCGAAACGGAACCCTTTTTCCAGGAAAAAGAAAAGAAAAAATTTACGCAAGTAACGGAACGGGACGAACATAATATCGGTGACGTGGACGGTTCAAAGTCCTACACGGCACAGGAAAAGCAAACGATAAAAAGATCGAAAATCGGATAAAAATAAATTAAAAAGAAAGCAGCGGTTTCTACGTCAAAAGCTAAACATCTTTTCTTTCCTTGTAGTACAGCTGCTAAGAGAGAGAGGAGAAAAAAGGCAAGCAATGAAGTTATACTGAGTGACACTCACTCTGTAAGTCTCTTGTTAGAATTTTGATCTCTCTTTTTTTTCTGAAACTTTGCTCAAATATCTGTTTGTTTTTCGTCTTGTGAATTGCCTGTTTGCATTGCATGTTTGGGATTTGGGTGTTTGAAAATGGGAAGATTATCAAGAGATTTTATGTATGTTTCTCTTTTCTGGGTTTATTAGGGTAGACTGGAAATGCTTAGCTATGAGATAAAGTTACTTCGTTTGCTTAGAGTTAGCTTAATCATTCTACCATTGTTCTGTATGTTTCATTTGATAAGTATTATAAGGATTTACCCTTTGTATTATAATTCCTGTCCAGGCTAAAATGTGCTGATCAAAGCAACTGGAAAAGACGTGGAATTCTTGACAAGTGGTTGGAGTTGAGAGTTTGAGCTTTATAAACGGTCTGCTGTGTATGTAAACAATGGATGATTATCTCGATCCGTATTTCACCTCCTCGTGGTCCGATGTGAACGTTAAGGAAAGGTCATCTTGGTTCCATACCGAACCTGATCAACTAAACCAGGTGTTGCCTAGTTCACTAGGAGTGTATCAAGATGATGGAAACTGTTCGCCTTTAAGCATGATTGGTTCGAATCATAGCATGGAGTGTTTAGCTACACATGATAATAATCCACCTCTAGTTCACGTTGAAGCTGGTTTGATGTCCGGGGAAGGTGGATTACAAACGGATGGTGAAAATTGCAGTGGTAACTCTTCGAAAGAGATGCCGAATGGAAGCTTTGGACTTAGAAATCAGGGACTGCGATGTAATACAGCCGTTGATCTTCCAGTTGGTGGTGATATGATCCCATCTCTTTCGTTTAATGAGAGAGGGCACATGATTTGCAATGGAGGTGAATCTTCCGAGTTTAGGAGATCATTTACGGACTTGGAAACTCTTTCTCCAATCCCACAATTATGGAATCTACAACACTATGACTCTGTTTATTCTCTTCCCACTTTGATGGGACAAACCAGAATGCAAAGCTCTTATCTTCAAGGAGAAAGTGGAAATGCAGATGATGAAGGCAATATTGACAGGTTTATTGAGATTGATAAGATTCTGCAACCTGAGAATGTATCTGCATCCGTCAATGCAAAGGTATTAATTTTTAACAGTGTTTAGTTAGTATGGTTCATTTAACTGGTTCTACCAGTTGTGGTTCATTTAACCTGAACCTATATTTTGAATTATCTTTTGTTGTTTATGTAATGTATCAGGGACAGCAAGATATGCAAAACTCTCTCTACTCCTCTTTTCCTGCCGATCACCGGATAATGAAGACTATGACTGGCTTACCGTCTCCACTGCAGGTTCGTTAAGCTTTTTATGTACTTCTAGTTCTAGATACCAACGTTAGCAGTTATAAACTTTTAATGCAGAGTGCATCGCCTAACCCAAACAATGGTTGCAATGGAACTGTGAAGCCTCGAGTACGAGCACGTCGAGGTCAGGCTACTGATCCACACAGCATTGCAGAGAGGGTAAGTTTTAAATTTTCCTGCTATCCAAATTTCATATCCCTGAGTTGGTTTTTGAGATTAGAGCTTGATCAATTATTTGTTCAAACCCAGCTTCGAAGGGAGAAGATAGCTGATAGGATGAAGAACCTGCAAGAGCTTGTACCTAATTCCAATAAGGTATTAACTGGAACTCATTGGTTTTGAGTTTATTAGATCTTCTGGTTGTACTGTCAACATTCTGGATGACTGTTTTTGTTTGTTTACTTTTAAAATTACATTCGATATATTCTTGTAAGAACATATGAACTGCATGCATAAATTCTACAGTTTTTACCACACATCTCAATTCAGTAAAGGTCAAGTAACATGTATAACAAATATGTTGTTCATCTTTCTGCAGATCATGCTGACTAATAATTCTTCTTTTGATGAACATTGCAGACGGACAAGGCCTCTGTACTTGATGAAGTCATACAGTATGTCAAATTTCTTCAACTCCAAGTCAAGGTAAGAATCTCGAATAATCAGAACAATTAAAAAAATTTAACTGGATTTCAGCTATCATCCATTAAGTAGGTATTTCTGAAAAGCATTTGCAGGTATTAAGCATGTGCAGGTTGGGGGCAGCGGCTGCAGTTGGTCCTCTTGTCACTTATCGCCAAGCTGAGGTGTGCCAAATTCTCGCTTCCTTCACTTGATGAAAGTTCACTATTAGGTATACACCATAACAGTTGAGGCTACGTTCTGTTTTGTCAGGAATCTAATGGTTTATCACTGTCCCCATTGGCTGCTGAAGGGTTTGATTTTTCACCATCTCCTGATCAAGTTGTTTTCGAACAAGAAGTGGTTAAGCTCCTGGAATCTAATGTAACAAAGGCCGTGCAATATCTACAAAGTAAAGGTCTCTGCCTTATGCCGGTCGCACTCGCTGCCGCCTTATCCAATGGTAAGGCTTCGTCATCCTCATCATCACCAGCTCTGGTTTCCAAGGAGAGGAAGAAATACGACTTTTCCAATGGCCTTGTTCACAACACCTGCAGCAGTAGCGGCAGCAACAGCAGTGGCAGCTTGCCTGGTGTTGGTATTCATCACGTCAACTCCGATGGCAATTTTATGCCCGGAAAGCTCAGTTCTGATATCATGGCCAATGTTTGCAATTACACCTTCAAACAAGAGGAAGTGAACACACCGTGCATTACCAAATGACTGAATCCCGAAACCATAGACGGCAAACTAGACTGCTAATATATGTCAATTAACCTAGTAGACATAGAACACTTACTAGCTTATCTTTGTTCCCATTTCTATTTTGTCTAAAAATTGCTAATACAAACCGTCGGAGGCTACTATCGTTTGTTGATACAAACCGAGACTAGAGACTTTCTTTTCATTAAAATCAATCAATCCCGTTCCCCACAACAATAAATAAGTGTGTATATTTGAAACACTATGAAATTGTTCTGAGTTATGCCAACCTTCAGTAAACAATCATTGAATGGAACATCTTCCCAGTCCACCAAAAAGATACATTGAAGTGAGCAACTCCAGTAATAGTGGGGAAAAACTGGCTTGTTTATTTCAATCGAAACCCAAAAAAATACCAATATATTGTTACAAAGTTAATTGTGCAATCCAATTGAACAGGTCGACCAAGCAAACAGAATCGAGTAAAAATCCCATAAAGATGACACTGGTATTATGCAAGTTGTATCATAGTCGGTGCTTCAGCACACGTATCAAACATATTTTTAGTTACGGTTACAGCACACTTTTGCTAATCTCTTTAAAAATCATACAAAATACAGTTTTGATTCTTTTAGTAATTAAATTTTCAATTTTTTTCAAAGTCATACTTAAAATTTAGTTTTTGTTTCATTTTATTACTAAAACCTAAGTTCTAAAAAAAATAAAAAATTAGGTACCAAAACACATTTAATACCTAAACTATATTTAAGTTTTTTTAAAAATCGAAAATTTAGGTACTAAAACATATTAAAATTGATAGTTTAGGTACTAAATGCGTTAAGATTTTAACGATAGAGTGCTAAAATGAAATAAAAATTAAACTTTATGTATAGTTTTTGAAAACTGAAAGTTTAGGTGCTAAAACAATTAAAACTGATAATTTAAGTACTAAATACATAGTTTACCCACGCTGTGTTTTTATCCATATCCAACGGTTTTAAAGCTTCCACGCTGATTCCCCACGTTCCCATCACCGAAAACACGGATTTTGAGAATGGGTATGCGGGTGGGATGGATGCTTTGAATTAAGGATTTTGAGATTTTTTTTCTTAAATTTTTAAATTTATTTGTGTTTTTTTAAATTAAAATTAATTTAATTTTTAAAAAATAAAAAAATAAAAAATTATAAATGTGTCATATGTCACATTTTAAGTGATTGAAAAAATTTAAAAAATTATAAATGATAATATTAAAAATATCAAAACTTAAATTGACCCGAAAATTTATGCGTAAAAAATATAATTTAATTTTTTTTTATATTAAGCCTTTTGAAAAAGATGAGAATTTTGTTGTTGAATGAAAAAAAAATTAAATAAAAGAAGAAAAATAAAAATTACGATCACAAATAAAACAAACTGGAAGCGGGTTAATTAAAGAAAAGGACCGTTGTTATGTGCAAAAAGGAGAGAGGAAAAAACAAAGCAAACAATCGAAAGAGAAGTCGAGAACGACACAACAAAAAGCTGTCTTCACAGGAAAACCAAACAAACACATAAATAAAGCGAAACGGGAAACCGTGGGAGAAAAAGAACAAAGTTAATCAAAGAAAATAAGAAGGTAGCATTCTTTCTTCTACAAAAAATTGTTGTAAATGATTCTCGCATTATTGTTATTAATTATTTATTTCTGAAGATTAAATCGTGTGTTTTCTGTTCATTTAATTGCATCATTGACCTCAAGCTTGCCACGAAATTAACGCTGGAGGATAACGGCTTTTACCTTTGATTATTCTCTGTTGGGGAGTTTCAATGTAATTCTTATTGTTGTACAAGGAGAGATTTAGCGTGCTGATTTAGTTTTAATCAATTAAAGAGCAACTCAGTTTTCTTGACGAGATTTTACATTGCTAGAAGATCCAAAGAACTTTTAATCTTATTATTGTTTTCTTTGTTTTGTTAATCAGTCTCAATAAGAATTAGCTGATTAATTTAATTTTAGGGTTTTTATCTGTACGAGTTCAGTATATATATATATATATATTTAATTTCGTGGGTTTATTGTATCGAACAGTGACCAGAAGTTTCATTTTTAACTGAAGAAGAAGAAGAAGCAAAAGAAGAAGATATTGGAGTTTAGGGCTTCTGGAGAGTGGAACTTGAGGTACTAGTATTCCGGGTAATTTTAGTTTTCTTATTATTTTCTTTTGAAAGTATTAATCAATCTTGTGCTTTTCACGTAATTTAAATTAGTTGCTCGAACTTGTCGAATTTTTGTTGCCATCTAAGTTTTCCCTCCACTTTCAATTACGAGTTTTTTGTTTGGGTTCATAAGTTTTATAGTAGTAGTTTTGCTGGAGCATAATTTTATAAGTGTATTTTGTTTGTTTTGGTTTTAATAATAGCTAAGGTATTAGGGGTAGCGATTTTGTGATTGTGGCTGTGATTGTGATAGTGATAAATATACGAATCATGATGACTGGGATCACTTGGGATAGTTGTAGATGGGCACCCCTGATAACAAACAATCAGACCATGTTGACAAAAAGTTGCGGATCCCTAGGATTGAGCTTCTGAACGTGTCGAGGGATTTTTGGATGCCTGATCAGAGTTGTAGGGTATGCTACGAGTGTGACTCCCAATTTACAGTATTTAATCGTAGGCATCATTGTCGACTTTGTGGCCGTGTTTTTTGTGCCAAGTGTACAACAAACTCGATTTTTGTCCCATCTGATGAACCAAGAGCTGGTCTTGAAGATTCAGAAAGGATTAGGGTATGTAATTACTGCTTCAAGCAATGGGAGCAGGGGATAGCAGCAGTCGATGATGGGACCAAAACATCTAGTCCTGGTCTCAGTCCATCTCCTTCTGCAGCAAGCTTGGCCAGTACCAAGTCCAGCTGCACCTGTAATAGCAGCAGCAGCATTGTTGGTTCTACTCCATATGCAACTGAACTTTACTACTCTGTGAATTATAATTCTGGTCTTAGACATCATGAATCTGCCCATATGAATGGTGCTGAACAAAACAGTGAGACATCTGGGATGAGCACAGATCAAAGTTCAGCCTTAGTAGATTCTTCTTCAAACCATTTTGGCTTTTGTGGTAACAGGTACCTTCCCCATTGCTAACATATCTGACTCTAGAATTTTACATGCCTTTTCATATATATATATATATATTCAGTGCTTGTTGAGAGGGGGTAGCATTAATGGCTTAGCAATGTATCCTTCATGATATCAATTGTGTTGTGATGAGCCTTTACTTCTTTGCTCAATGCTTTTGTGTTTGTAAATTCATATTCAAATTACGCAGCATGCCTTGGCTGGAATCCATAAGTTCTTGTGCTTTTATTTTATGATTAAAAGTTTGTGATCTATACTTTCTACTTTCTTAACTGTTGGTTCCAGGAGTGACGATGAAGATGATGATTATGTTGCATATCGTTCAGACTCAGAATCAAAGCATTATGCTCAATCCGAAGATTATTATGGTGCAACCAATAATGATGAATTTGAACGTGTATATGGGTCAGATAAAGTTCGTCCTCAAGCTGAGAACACTGATGTGAAATCTTTGAGTGGTTCATCATTTTCTAAGAATTTTGATACACCAAGTGTGGATGGAATCAAGAAATTTGAAGAAAAAAATGAGCAAGAAAATGCTGATGAGGGTGAAGCTCCTGCTTATGTCGTGGATGGTACAGGCTCTGTGCCTGTGGATTTTGAGAGCAATCGACTACTGTGGCTCCCTCCAGAGCCTGCAGATGAAGAGGATGAGAAAGAAGCTGCTCTATTTGATGATGACGATGACGAGGGTGCTACAGGAGAGTGGGGATATTTACGCTCTAATAGTTTTGGCACTGGGGAACGTAGCAGGGATAAGTCTGTTGAGGAGCATAGGCGGGCCATGAAAAATGTGGTGGAAGGGCATTTTAGAGCTTTGGTATCTCAGCTTTTGCTGGTCGAAAACCTTCCTATAGGGGATGATGATGGGAAAGAGAATTGGTTGGATATAATCACATCTCTGTCATGGGAAGCTGCAACACTTTTGAAGCCAGATACAAGTAAGGGGGGAGGAATGGATCCTGGAGGATATGTGAAAGTTAAATGCATAGCCTCCGGGTGTCGCGCAGTGACTGGTAATCTCAATGAACTCAATTTGAAAATTTCTTAATCATCACACAACAAGAATGCAACTTCACCTTCATATCCTTAGCAGGTGGTTGCTAACAACCCAAACATACAAATAATTTTTGTTCTTAGTAATCAACTTTATTATTGATTCCAAGATGGTTAATTGTGTTTCATGGCCGAGTATTGGACTTGTTAGATCTTGAAAATATGTAGTTGTTGCATTACTTTGATACTTCTGGTATCTATATAATATCCATGTTAAAAGTTGATAATTCCCATTGCATCAAATGGTTCATATTCTTTTTCCTTGGGTTGATGGGTACTGATTGTAGTTCTTTGATTTTAATTTGAATGAACATACCCTAAAGTTATTTCTTCAATCACACCCCTCACATATCTCATTAGCTATCATTTGTGAATATCCCTCATATATGTAACGAGCATTCACAAACTTACAATTAACAATAAAATCAAATGTGTCACTAAAAGAATGCTTTGTATGTTATGTAGTAGTTCATTCTATTCACCATTTATTTTGTGATGGGATTGTGATTTCCCTTTTTAATATTTTCTCTAGTGCTGTGGTTAAAGGAGTTGTTTGCAAGAAAAATGTAGCTCATAGACGAATGACTTCAAAAATAGACAAACCTCGTTTTCTAATTCTTGGAGGAGCTTTGGAATATCAGCGTATTTCTAATCACTTGTCAAGTTTTGATACGTTGTTGCAGCAGGTTTGTATTTCTAACTATTCCCTTATATTTTGTTTGGTTAATTAACCTAGTTTCGTAATAAGGGTTAAATAAGGAACATTTCCTTCGCTTCCTACCTTCTAGATCATGAAGCAGTTAAGGCTAATATTTGTTAGCTTACCCTCCTTTCCAGGAAATGGACCATTTGAAGATGGCAGTTGCTAAAGTCGGTGCACATCATCCTAATGTTCTTTTAGTGGAGAAATCTGTGTCCCGGTATGCTCAAGAGTACCTTCTCGCCAAAGACCTATCACTTGTTCTGAATGTTAAGAGGCCACTCTTAGAGCGTATA